CAAAGAGAAAATACACACACACACACACACACACACACACACACACACACACCCTAGACCTTCAGGACCTTGGACAAGATAACAAGATAAAAAAAGATCTAATATTCATGTCATTAGAGCTATGGTGGAAGAATTAGAGAAAGAGAATGGGGCTGAAAAAGTATTCAAAGAACCAACGACTAAAACGTCCCAAATTTGGTAAGAGACATAAGTTTACAAATTTGAGAGGTAAAACTCATCTAAAATGATGGGAATCAGAATAGTGATTGCCTGTGGGAGGTTGGTTGATTGTAAAGGCAGACAAGGGAACTTTCTGGGATGATAGAAATGTTTTCTTTATCTGGTTGAAAGTAACACGGGTATATACAATTGTTAAAACTTACTGAACTATACATCAAGATAGGTACATATTACTACATTGTAAAGGGTATCTTAATTTTAAAATATATATTAGGGAATTCACAGAATTATTGGCAGGGCTAGATGACCAAACTCAATGCCAAGCTTCCAGGAACAATGTGCAAACCTACACAAGACAACAAGCCTATTGGCTGCACCAACCACTGCTGCCAGGAGTCCAACTTTCTAGTCTACGACTGCAATTTTTTGCAGGACCCTGCACCCCCCACCACCCAAAACCCAAATGTTTCTGCTGACACCCTTGCCAGGAAAATGGTTGTCTTTTGTGCAGCTTTCTTCTACTTATGACTTACTTGTGAATCCAAACCTTGCACAGTTGAGCCTGTGCTCTAGCTTGGGAGTATCCTGGTTCTGCAGAATATGCAGAACATGAGTACTCTGGGTTCTGGGCAGGCAGAGCACACCAGGCTCATGATTCCCCAATCACAGCACACACATTTAAAAGATGCTAGTCAGCCAGAAGACAAGACACAGGTTTACGGCAAATAGTGGCCTTCTATGAGGTTTACTTCAAAGTAACAAAACCCCCTTGTGATTTGGACGACATTTTGCTGAGTATATTAGGTAGCTCGCAGGATCTGCAGAGATGAGAGACTGGGTGCCAAGCAGCCGACAACAAATCAAGCTGGGAAAGTGTCTGGAAAAGGTCCTGCTGCTGTCACGCAGAGATCCACTGATGGCAGAGATTCTTAACAAAAGATAGAGGAGGGAAGATACTGTTTTAAGAACACTTTTTAGGGCCAAGCTCGGTGGCTCACACCTGTAATCCTAGCACTCTGGGAAGCCTAGGCAGGCAGATCACTCAAGGTCAGGAGTTCAAAACCAGCCTGAGCAAGAGCAAGACCCTGTCTCTACTAAAAAAATAGAAAGGAATTAGCTGGACAACTAAAAATATATAGAAAACATTAGCCGGGCATGGTGCCACATGCTGTAGTCCCAGCTACTCAGGAGGCTGAGGCAGGAGGATTGCTTGAGCCCAGAAGTCTGAGGTTGCTGTGAGCTAGGCTGATGCCACGGTACTCTAGCCCAGGCAACAGGAAAAAAAATAAAAAAGAATGCTTTTTAGTTTTTAATGCTCAGGCTCTTGTCAGGGATAAAGGCCTCATCCGGAAACGGAATCCCTGTGACAGGATGCAGTTCACTCTCTCATCCATTCACTTATTGAACAAATAGTTACTGACTCTGCCAGACACAGTCTTGCTCTTATGGAATCAACAGGCCAGCAGAGGAGAAAAATAGTGAGTGAGTAATTATACAAATAAGTTTGACATTGCAATTGATGGAAATACTCTTACAGTGAAGCAAAATTTTCTAGGAGAGCGTATAACAGAAGAACCTAAGATACTCAAGGTCAAAGAAGACTTCCCTGAGCAAATGATATCTGATAAAATACAGCTTCTGATAATAGCATGTGTTTGTGGTGTTGGGGAGAAAAGACAGTACCTTTTCTTCACCCAGCGCAAGTGTCAAGGCTGACACCTCTGCAACAAGCAGATTAGCAAGAAAAAAGCTTCACGGATTTATTTAACAAAGTTTTACATGATGTTACCAAACCAAACTGGGGTCCACTTGCCCGGTACAGCCAAGCCAAACACTGAAGCCCAGAGTTGCGGAAGCAGAAAGGGGCTTTACTCCCAGGGCCCCAGAACTCTCACTCCTGGGTGTCTTAGAAGTCAGGGGATCTTAAAGGCAGGGATAATTTCAGGCAGGCCTGGCCCAAAAAGGTGGGAATATCCTGAAGTGGGGAGGGGCATAGATGGATTCAGAGAAGAAAGGAAGGTTAAGATGGGTGTGACAGGCCCCTTGGGAGAAATTGGAACAAAGAATAGCAGGTCAGAGTTCAGTTCCTCAGTTCCCCCTTATCTGCATTTTCCATCTTGTTGGGTTTCTGTAAAACAACTCAAGAGCATATACTAGGATATCACCTTTTAGTTTCCAGAGGAAACCCAAATACCTCATGACTCTGGCTTGCTTGGAGGGCCATTGTACCCACCAGGTTGCCCATTCACTTGTCAAGGCTAGCCAGGTGTCACAACATCCCCTGAAGGGACTCAAGGTTTTCCTTTATTTCCATGCTTGGGGGGGAGGGCAGTAGGTCCCTCAGAGGAGTCGTGCTTGGTTTCAATGACACAGGAGCTTCAGAAATAAAGAACCAAAGACCCAGGGAAAATTGTATTATAATTTTATGCTAAGTCTGATGAAAGTGCATAGTTGTGCAGCAACATGATTGGACAAAAGGATATGATCCGATAGTAATAAACTGAGAGGAATTTAGCAAGAATTGCCTGTTCAGATTCTTCTGGGCCTCCCTGTGTATCATTCATTCACCTTAGTATGGGGCAGAACCCCTCTGGAATGAGGGTCTTATGATCTTCCTTCAGGGGAGATAGGTTAGAGTGCGACTTTTCTACCGTTTTTATGGGTTGCTTTGAGGGAAAGGAGTTCTGGTTTCTAGGACATGTCTCACCTCAGGGGAGAAAGAAGGGGGGCAGAAGTTCAGAGAGATCTTGCCTCTGAAGCTCTGCCTTTCACCATCACCACTACATTTCTAAGCCACCTATCTTGGCTCTTTTTCATGCTCCATTCTGATTCTACCTGAGGAATGATTTTTATTTCAACATGAGTATTATATATAATGAGCTCTAGGGTACTGGGGAGCCCTTGAATCTTTACTTGCAAATCCGTGGAATCTGAGGATTGGCAGAGGAAATGGCATTATATTCAGGAATAGAAAATCCCTTTCATTCCATCCATAATTCCTACACAACCAACAAGCTCATTTTGCCATGCACCATACTACATTCCCCCTGCCCGAAGAAATGCTTGAAAAATCTCTCTCCTCCCAATTCCCCCAAATTATCATTAGTTATTTTAAATCCTGTTGCATTAACACATTTAATTATGTTCAGATGTTCAAAATAACTATACAGTTGGCCCTCTGTATCCATGGGTGCTGCATCCATGAATTCAACCAAGTGTGGATCAAAAACATTCAGGAGAAAAGAGAAAAAAAAAAAATTAAAAAAAATTAAAAAAAAAAAACATTCAGGAAAAAAATGGATGGTTCCATCTGTACAGAACATGTACAGACTTTTTTCCTTTTCATTATTTTTCCTTTTCATTATTCCCTACACAAAACAGTACAACAACTATTTATGTGACAGAGTGAATGGCCTGAAATAGGGTAAAAATGTTTTACAAGTTGTCTCTTTAACGCCCCCCAACTCTCTGGGAATTAAACACTGCCCAAGGCCAGTCATTCAGAGGGTCGGGGGAGTATCTTTTGTACCACAGGAGATAGCTCAGTGGAATTGTCCCTGCAGAGGTCACACAGTTTTTTTCACTGGAGATGGGGTCAATGGGGTTAAACAGCAATAACCCCCAAGCTGAAAACTTCCTTTAAAAGCTCTGTATTTCTGCTTATAGGGAGGATGTGGTACTTTAAGATGAGAGTCTGACATCTTCCTCATTTGCTGGCAAATTAATAAACTTCCCTTTCCTTCTCCTCAAGCAACTTGTCCTCATTCTTTTGATGTGGCCTCAGGGACAAGTGCCGAACTTTTGGTAACATTTACATAGTATTTACATTGTATTAGGTGTTATAAGCAATCTAGAGATGACTTAAAGTATATAGGAGGATGTGCATAGGTTATATGCAAATATTACACCATTTTATGTTAATATAACAACTTGAGCATCCGTGGACGCTGGTATCCTTAGAGGGTCCTGGAACCAATCTCCCACAGTTACTAAGGGACAACTGTACACAAATACAGCACTAAAAAGAAAATCTTCATTGATTGCTAAATGGAAAGGTTGTGAATACAGCTTAGAAAAAAACTTCTTGTTAACATAAATAAGTAAAAGGGATGTTTTAATAGAAGTTGTTGCCAAGACTCATAGCCTCTTTATCTCTAACTAGTCATGATATTAATATGAGCCATTATTATATCATAAAATATACCTTGTGTGTTATTCAGTGAAATTTTATAACTTTATAGGAATAGAATTTTCATAAAGCAACTTTAAAATGAAGAATTGAAAACTATAAATTTTAAGATATTCTAAATTTACAGACAAAAATTAAAAACATATAAAGATGCACATTCATAACTTATTTTCTTTTTGAAGTCACATATATCACATTTTATTTCTTCTCCAGTAGTCTCAGTTCTAGCTTTCAAAAAGCTGTGCTGTTTACATAGCTATTATCTAAAATTTATTTTCTATTATAATTTGCTCCCAAGATCATAAATACAGTGTTTAAAATGGTTCATTTACTTACCCATGTAGACAGATATAAATATATTCCTAAATATATATATTTCTATCAAGGGAAAAGCGGCTTTTTTTCTCTTTTTTTTTGAGACAGGGTGTCCCTCTGTTGCCTGAGCTAGAGAACAGTGACATCGTAGCTCACAGCAACCTCAAACTCCTGTGCTCAAGTAATCCTGCTTTAGCCTCATGAGTAGCTGGGACTACAGGTACACATCACCATGCCCGGCTAATTTTTCTGTTTTTTGTAGAGATGGGGGGTCTTGCTATGTTGCTCAGGTTGGTCTCGAACTCCTGGCCTCAACTCTCGATCCTCCCACCTCAGCCTCCCAAAGTGTTGGGATTGCAGGTGTGAGCCACCATACCTGGCCAAAAAGTTCCTTGTAAGAAAACATTCATGAAATATGTCATCTGAGTTGTTTATAATTTCTTGCTTTATTCACTCAGCTGGATCTAGATTATCAAAGATAAATTTTTGTAGAGTAATGATTTGAAATTTCATATTTCATATCAAATCACTTGATGCAAAAAAAAGAGAAGGCAAAGGCCAAGTAGTAACAACTGCAATGTGGAATTCTGACTCAACCAAGCACACCTGGGTCCAACTTAAGACGTCATCAGGTTAGTGCTAGACTGTATAGGAAGTCCTTGGGGAATAATGGGTACATTGTGAAGCTTCTGGCATACTTGTGAATTAGCTAGTGAAAGCTAAAGGCAGATGGGATTTTAGCCAGTTGACGGCTGGCCTATTTTTAATTTAGAATTGTAAGCAGGAAAAGGGGCTCTTTTATAATCAGCCAAAATCACAATAGTCATTAAGATATGCCCTGGGAATAAATCAAGGGTTGTGGAAGTCCCCAGACATCCCGAGTAGTTAGTGTACTACATGCTGCTGTACCAAATACTTTAATAGAGGAAATGATTCCACACAACTCTCAAATTCTAACTTGCTCCCAGAGACTCAGACAATGACTACAATGTTAAGCTCTGGCCCCAAGAAATACTTCTGGGTCCAACTAAATAATCTCATCTTTTACTGTTGAGATCACAGGATCTGGCTAAAATGCAACTTGGGTGTTTTAAAAATTGAGATTACCTGATGGTGCATGTTTATAATGCTGGTATACTGAGAAGTCACAGGGAGGGGATGCTGGTTTCTCAGGACCATCAGATGATCTTTTCTCCTGGCTGTATCTCCTCTACATTAACTTCCATGCTTTTCGGGGAGTTGAGGCCCCAACTCTACAGCTATCTAACTGTGGGAATTCTGAAGAGTCATTAATTCCCGTGGCCTTTGTTTGCTGGTGTTTTTGTTTTATTTTTAAATCTGCCAAACAAGAAGACAAGAAGAGGGAGACTCAATAATCTTTAAAGTTTCTTTTCTAGCTCCTAAACATGTTTTCTTATTCTCTCCTTTAGATTTGCTAAATAATAGCAGCACAACTAAGCCCTTTTTTTTTTTTTTTTTGAGACAGAGTCTTGCTTTGTTGCCCAGGCTAAAGTGAGTGCCGTGGCGTCAGCATAGCTCACAGCAACCTCACACTCCTGGGCTCAAGCAATCCTCCTGCCTCAGCCTCCCAAGTAGCTGGGACTACAGGCATGCGCCACCATGCCCGGCTGATTTTTTCTATATATATTAGTTGGCCAATTAATTTCTTTCTATTTTATAGTAGAGACGGGGTCTCGCTCTTGCTCAGGCTGGTTTTGAACTCCTGACCTCGAGCAATCCGCCCGCCTCAGCCTCCCAGAGTGCTAGGATTACAGGCGTGAGCCACCGTGCCCGGCTTAAGCCCTTTTATAATAGTTGTGCTAAGAAGAAGTTGCCAACACTTATTTTAGATTCAGTCCCAAAATAAAACAAACCCTAGACTGCCCCAAACAGATAAATATCCTCTTCAGTCTAGAATATGCTAAACAAGACTGTACAAACCTGATGGCAAAAAAATTACTATCCTTCAGTGCCCTAAAGCTTGGGTCCCCAACCCCCCAGGCCACCATTCTGAGAGGCCTGTTAGGAAATGGCCGCTTATCATCACCTGAGTGCCCAACCCCACACACACACACAGCAGCCCGCTCCCCCACTCTCGGTCTGTGGAAAAATTGTCTTCCATGAAACTGATCCCTGGTGCCATAAAGGTTGGGGACCGCTGCCCTAAAGCCCCCAGACCAGCTAGTATGGGACTTACTTCTTGAGAAAAGAAAAACCAATCTCCTCTCTACCCACCCATATCCACTGGAGATGTGTTTGGAATTCTGACATGGCAGCCTCCTCACTTTGTAAGCTGTTAAAACATTACAGACCTATTAGCACTTACCTGATTTCCCTCAATTGAATCAAACCAAAACACAAAAGGGTTACCTTCAATGTTAATGCTTTGGTTAAAGGTCCTCACAAACAGTATTAGTCTCATTGTAAAACACGGCTTTTGATTCCATCAAGTGGTGTTCGACATGTCTCAAAAAGCTCCCACATTCAAAAAACAAAATAAGATAATTTCTTCCAATTCTGGCAACAACTCTGGTTAGGGGCAGCAGGTCAGCTGAAAAGCTACTCTCTCCATTTTGTTCTGTTTCCTCCAGCAACCCCTGCAACAGTGGGAGAGGGAGATGATGACAAACGCATTCCTTCCCTTAGGAACCTTCCTTCATGGTGAATTTTTTACTACTGCTAGATTTATCTCCCCCAGGGAAAACACTGGCTATAATTATTTTTTCCTGGTTTGAAGAAAGTGTACCTTTTATCTTATATTCTAAATTTCCCAGTGATTTCTAGAACATATCAGAGTCACCTGGGAAGTTTTTATAATAAAACCCAGATTCAGACCCTCCCATGCTTCAATCAGTTTCCAAGGATGGAGCCCAGAAATCTATAGTTTTCAACTCTCCCTTTGTTTTCTGATATAAAAAGAGGCTTAGAAAACATTCTTCCACCCCCTTTTCTTCCATCTCTCCTACTCTCTCTTTCACAAACTGGTAAGCAATGTCACTTAAATAAGTTTTATGCATCAACTAAATGATCATATCGTCCAGAAATAAATCCATGCGTATACAGTTAACTGATCTTTGACAAGAGTGCCAAGAATACACAATGGGGAAAGGATAGTCTCATGAATACAAAGTGCTGGGAAAACTGGGTATCCATATGCAGCCGCATGAAATTGAACCCCTATCTTACACCATACACAAAAATCAACTCAAAATGGATTAAAGACTTAAAAGACACTGCAGGGTACAGTGGCTCAAGCCTGTAATTCCAGATATTCACGAGCCTGAGGCAGGAAGATCATTTGAACCTGGAGTTCAAGACCAGCTTGGGAAATATAGTGAGACCCTATCTCAAAAAAATAAAACCCTAAAAATATCAAACTAAAAAGCTCTGCACAGTGAAGGAAACAATCAACAGTGAAAAAACAACCTAGGAATGGGAGAAAATATTTGCAAACCTATACTTGATAAGGAGTTAATCTCTAAAATACATAAATCTTCAGGCTTGGTGCCTCATACCTGTAATCCTAAACCTCTGAGAAGCTGAGGCAGGAGGACGGCTTGAGGCCAAGGGTTTGAGACTAGCCTGAGCAAGAGCGAGATCCCAGTCTCTATAAAAAATAGAAACATTAGCCGGGTGTGGTGGCACGTGCCTGTAGTCCCAGCTACTTGGGGGACTGAAGTAGGAGGATTGCTTGAGCCCAGGAGTTTGAGGCTTCAGTGAGCTATGATGACACCACTGCACTCTAGCCAGGATGACAGAGCAAGACTCTGTCTCAAAAAAGGAAGGAAGGAAGGAAGGAAGTGAGGGAGGGAGGGAGGGAGAAAAAAAAAATATATATATATGTAAGGAATTTCTACAACTCAATAGTATTATAAAATAACTAATAGCCCAATTAAAACCTGGGCTAAGGACTTGAATAAACATTTATCCAAAGAAGATATACAAATAGCCAACAAGTATATGAAAAATGTTCAATGTTTAGTCATCAGGGAAATGTAAATCAAAACCACAAAAAAAGTATCACCTCACATGACTATTATTTTTTATAACAGACATCAAAAATCCAAAGACAAGTGTTGGTGAGGATGTGGACAAATTGGAACCCTTACACACTGTTGGTGGGAATGCAAAATGGTCCAGCCACTATGGAAAACAGTATAGAGGTTCCTCAAAAAATTAGGCCAGGCGCAGTGGCTCACGCCTATAATCCTAGCACTCTGGAAGGCCAAGGCAGGTGGATCCTTTGCGCTCAGGAGTTCGAGACCAGCCTGAGCAAGAGTGAGACCCTATCTCTACTAAAAATGGAAAGAAATTAATTGGCCAACTAAAAATATATAGAAAAAATTAGCCGGGCATGGTGGTACACATCTGTAGTCCCAGCTACTCGGGAGGCTGAGGCAGAAGAATCACTTGAAGCCCAGGAGTTTGAGGTTGCTGTGAGAGAAGTTGATGCCATGGCACTTTAGCCCAGGGAACAGAGTGAGACTCTGTCTCAAAAAAAAAAAAGAAAAAAAAATTAAATATAGAACTATCATATGATCCAACCATCTCACTTCCAGGCATTTGTACAAAAGAATTGAAGTCAGGATCTTGAAGAGATATTAGCATTCCTGTGTTTATTACAACAGTATTCACAATAGCCAAGGTATAGAAACAACCTAAATGTCTATTGGCAGATGAATAAAGAAAATGTGATTATATATATATATATATATATATATATATATATATATATATGATGGAATATTATTCAGCCTTAAAAAAGGAAATTCTTCAATGTGCTACAACATAGATGAACCTTGAAAACATTATGCTAAGTGAAACAATCCAGTCACAGAAAGGCACATACCACATGATTTCACACATGTTCGTAGAATCAGAAATTACTAATCAACAGGCACAATGTTTCAATCAAGCAAGATGAATAAACTCTAGAGATCTGCTGCACAACACTATCTATAGTCAACAATAATGTATTGTACACTTAAACATTTGTTGAGAGTAGATCTCATGTTAAGGGTTCTTACAACAATATAATTTAAAATTATTTATCATACTAAGAACTTGTTATAAATGGATCAATACAAGGAGGATGTAGTAAATGGTAATCTGTAGAAAATGATCTCAAGTTCAACGTTTTGAATCAGAGACTTAAATGAAGCATGTGTGATTGGGAGATATGAAGAAGTGGGTAACAGGAAGGAAATAAAAAGTACCACTATCAGAGTGAATATTAAATCCATAGCATGAACTTTTTGAGATTAACAATGTGAATTTGAGAGGATTACTGTGGTAGGCGAATAAAGGCCCCGAAAATGTCCACAGCCTGATCCCTGGAACCTAATCCCTGAACCTCTGTGTTACTTCTTATGGCAAAAGGGACTTTACAAATGTGATTAAGGATTTTGAGATTGGGAGAGTATCCTGGATTATCCAGGTGGGCCCAGTGATGTAATCGGAAGTGTCATTATGAGAAGGAATCAGGGGGTAGATACTACAGAAGAAAAACAACCTGATAACAGAAGGACTGGAATGAAGCAGCCACAAGCATTCTTTAATGCTGGTAACCACCAGAAGATGGAAGAGACAATGAAAGAATTCTTCCCTGGAGTTCTAGAAGGAACTAGGAACCTGATTCTAGCCAGTAAAACTGATTTGGGGCTTCTGACTTTGAGAACTGTGAGAGAATATATTGCTTTAATCCACTAAATTTGTGGTAGTTTACTATAGCAGCCATAGGAAACTATTATAATCACTAACATTGTAACTCAACAATCAGAATCCAAAATCTGGACCAGGTACAGTGGTGTACACCTGTAGTCCTAGCTACTTGGGAGGCTGAGGCAAGAGGATCACTTGAGCCCAGGACATCAAGGCTGCAGTGAGCTGTGATTATGCTGCCGCTCTCCAGCCTGGGTGACAGAATGAAGCCCTGTCCCACGGGTGGCGGTGGGGGAGGGGGGGAGGATCCTAGATCTGCATTTGTTTTATAAAATGTTAAACTATAATTGTTACACAAAATACAGGTGGCTCTCATGAGGTCCATACAAAATAGTGATAAATACACTATTTATGGAATTATAAGCTGCTTTTAACAAAGTTTATAGGAGAAATCATTAGAAAATGAATAGCTTACTAGTTTTCAATATTGGTGTCATAATTAATCCTAGAATCATTATTACTTAATTGACATACTACCTTTGCAGATGTTAATTAAGTTCAGGATGTCAAGGTATTTATCTTTTGGAAATTTAAGTTAATATGAAAATTTAGTATTCTATTTAATTACACTAGGTTCTTGTACTTGACATGAAGCTTTGTGTTCTATAAAAAGAAATGTAAATACTAGAAAAATCACACAAAGGAAGAGTGAGGCTCCTTATTAAACCTGTTAGATAAGTAATCAAACTCTCTAGGGGATTCACTTGGTAGTTTTCCAGTTTTGTAATGTACTGCACACTAATAATGCATATTTTTTCAGGAAACAGATTTGAATGTTTTGATCATCTCAAACTCCTAAATCTATTGCACAAATATATCTGTATTGTCTCAATTAACAATTAGCTGCTTCAAGAAATGAAAATCAACTACTTTTAATAAAACATTGGCATAGCATGGAAGAACTTCACAGTGCTTTACAACTACCATGTTTCCCCAAAAATAAGACAGGGTCTTATATTTATTTTTCCTCAAGAAGGCACCTTAGGGCTTATTTTCAGGGGATGTGTTTTTTTAATACGGTACAACAATGTACATTTATTCAAATATAGTTGTCTTCTTCTGGAACATACTCTCCAAACCCCAAATTCCATCCTGAATTTCTTGCAACTCCATTTCCTTTAGAACCACTGGCCCCAATCTCTCATGCCGAGCAATAGAGCTCTCATGGGGCAGATGAGAAGGGCTGCTCATCTTCTTTATCACTCCACAACAAAATGCATGGGTTGTGCAGATACCGTGGGTAGCCACGCCCATCACTAGGTCTTATTTTCAGGGTAGGGCTTATATTGTGCAAATGCTTAGAAATCCTGCTAGGGCTTATCTTATGGGTGGGTCTTATTTTCGTGGGAAAAACGGTACAAAGTTTTTTTTATAAACCTTCAGCATGTTCAAGAAGTATTCACAAAATAAAGTCTACAAAATTTAGAATTTAAATGCTCAAATAAAATTACAGGAACCCTTGAAGCAAAAAGATATCATATAGGAAGTAGGGCATGAATGTGACATCAATCAGTAACTGTGTTTATAACCGTAACACTGCCTTTATAAAAATGTAATCAAAGATTTCTAACTTCACTGTTATTAAAAGGTGTTAAGTAATCAAGAATTTAACTGAGGCCAGGCGTGGTGGCTCACACCTGTAATCCTAGCACTCTGGGAGGCCAAGGCGGGAGGATCGTTTGATCTCAGGAGTTGGAAACCAGCCTGAGCAAGAGCAAGACCCTGTCTCTACTATAAATAGAAAGAAATTAGCTGGACAACTAAAAATATATAGAAAAAAATTAGCTGGGCATGGTGGCACATGCCTTGTAGTCCCAGCTACTCTGGAGGCTGACACAGAAGGATCCCTTGAGCTGATGCCAAGGTACTCTAGCCTGGACAAAAGAGTGAGACTCTGTCTCAAAATAAAAAAGAAAAAAAAAGAATTGAACTGAGAAACTGTTTTAGAAATGCAAATTTAAGGCTGGGTGTGGTGGCTCACACCTGTAATCCTAACACTCTGGGAGACCAAGGCGGGCGGATTGCTTAAATATCAGAGTTCCAAACCAGCCTGAGCAAGAGTGAGACCCCCATCTCTACTATAAATAGAAAGAAATTAATTGGCCAACTAATATATATATAAAAATTAGCCGGACATGCTGGCACATGCCTGTAGTCCCAGCTACTCAGGAGGCTGAGGCAGAAGGATCGCTTGAGCCCAGGAGTTTGAGGTTGCTGTGAGCTAGGGCTGATGCCACCACACTCACTCTACCCTGGGCAACAAAGTGAGACTCTGTCTCCAAAAAAAAAAGAAGAAAAAAAAAAGAAGAGGGAAGGAAGGGAAGGAAGGGAAGGAAGGGAAGGAAGGGAAGGAAGGGAAGGAAGGGAAGGAAGGAAGGAAGGAAGGAAGGAAGGAAGGAAGGAATGCAAATTTAACACTCAAGTCAGAGAAAAGAAAATGTATACACACAAAAGAACTATGTTAACATAAATGATTAAAGCTAACTATTTTCCCAGAAATGATAGGAGAAAAAGAGTTAACTATATTTTCTTACAGAAAGAAAAGTCTAATTTTAATTTTTGGAGCTATATAGGATAATAAACAAAAAGAACCTAACTTGCCTCTCACACAGAACTGATAATTTTCCATTTCCTCTTCTTAGAATACTTAACTTTTATAAAGCAATAGTTTGCCAAGCTCATTAATTTTTTAAATACCACTTATGTATATACATGTACATTTTAAAAACTCTATAAACAGTATTAGGAAAAACAGGAACTGTTTCATTTAGGTCTTAACACAGTGAATCAACTTCATAGTGCAATGAATATTAGTGAGATGTCAATATGAATACAAAAGCAAGAATACAAACTGATGTTTTCTTTCGGAAATATTTTTATGATCAATTCCAAACACACAGTACAGGGAAGATGGAATGAGTAAGGAAAAAAGTCATATTTTATTTCCCCATTAACACTAAACCATATTATTCAAACTGTGTTTCAAAATAATCAGCCAGTTCACCAATGCTAGTCACTGCCTTAGTTCAAATGTTCACTAATATAGTCAAGCAACAGAAATCCATTATGAGACACTGTCTAGAAAGATAGCTACATTGCTAAATATAATTTATTAACTTAGTAGTTTAGTCTCCCAATATTTAGCAAGTTCATTTAAAAATTACCATTCCCATTGGTTTATAGTAACATTAATATGAATGCATAATTTCAAAGCCAACATTCCTTTCACTGTGAACATAAAACCTCTTAAAAGATAGTTGTGGGTTGGGGTACAGTAATGACTATGACTGCTGCGATACCATTTTTCAAAGCCCAAAAGACTGGCAAGTTTGGAAAGGCATAAACTATATATACACACTCTCATTATGCTACTATTTCCCACATTTTTGCTGTACATACTTGTCTCATAATATGGTATAAATTATTCCCTCAAATTTGAAAAATAAGATGAATTCATTTTCATCTTCAAAATAACACCTTATAAATGAAAAAAAAAGTTCCTCGTATTTATTAGATCTAGTCAAGAGATGGCTTAAATATTTTCTTCATGACATGTACAATTTTTTCACCCCATCTTAGTGCCTCATTACAGTTTGGCAATAAGACTTCCAGTGCTTTATCAAAAACTGCCTTCAATAGATGATAAGATTGTTAAATCTGCACTTGAATCCTTCTTAAAACATAGAATTATAACAAAGTCCAAAAAATATATGAACATTAATCAATACCCTTGGGAACCTGTGTATTACTGCAAATAATCTCACATGTGCATATAATTCAAACAAACTTGGTGGGGAGGGGGTATAAAATAAATACTACAATATTTCTTCAATTCTAATGCTGCCTAGATGGTTAGATGAAAAGATTAATATTACTAACAGGAAGAGTCAAACTATCTTAAGGACTGTTTTCTAAGTAGTTAGAACAATTTTGAAAACAAAGATAAGCAAGAGCCTATGCCAATACATTTTTCCTGTAGTGTAATATAATTGCTAATATGAGGTATAATCTGTAAGCAATTAATACAAATATAAATAGGTATAAGCCACCACTAAATCACAGTCTGGTGAAAAGCTTCTCAGCTAACATAGTTTGAAAAGGTTAAGGGAAATGGGAAAGGGAAGACAGAGCAGGTTTCCAGTGGGAACATTATTTACGTGCCTTATCATCATCTTGTATGTAAAAGTTCACTGTTGCAGAAAGGTAAATCCTTTCCAAGTATGCTGGCCTGGAATATACTTTATTGTAGCATAGTAAGATTAAGTATTACTAATGCTTCATTTGCATTTTATATTCGGATATACACATAATCATATATGCATACCAAAAACTATAAACAGATTTTTAAAACACTTTTACCTCATTTTGGGAAAGTTAATAGTTAAGATGGAAGTATGTACTACAGAATTTTCTAGAATATCTAAACTCAGGGGTAAAATCAAAGGAAAACATTACTATCTCTTTAGTAAATGGCTTGTGTGAAACCTCAAGCTCACTCATCTTTTTATAGATGGGTTTATTTGATGAGGATTGTGATCCAATGATTGTTTAGCAGCAATTTTACCAAACTGTAAATTCTTTTATTAACAGGCATTATAAACAGATAATACTAATCTTATTTAAAAACCATGAGTGCCACACCAGTGAATATACAGCTTATGAATAACTTAAAAAGTATTTCCCATTTTAAAAGGCAAACACAGCATACAAAATCCTATACTAAACGAAGAAGCTATAATATGGATACATGATTGATGTGTCTAAAATGATATATATACAGTACATAATTAATGTTAATTATGTGATCAGTACATTTTTCTATATGATTCCCTTCATGCTTCACTTTCCCCAGAAACTGAATTCTGAACTTCCTCTTCTAAAATTGGTACAATCAGGTTATCCTTGGACATCAAATTATATTTCATCACAAACTTAGTAAACCGATGACACAAAAATGTTTCATTCTGCAGAAAGGAAGAAAAAATATGTTATTTTACTAACCAAATTTAAAAACTAAAAATAATATCAACATATATTATTGTCATTCTGATAAGAATACATGAAGATAATTAGTGATATATACTTACTTCATATTCATCAAATATCTGCCGGTGATGAAAATAAGCATGTGAAAATATTCTGTAAATCCTACGGCATACTGATCCTAGTTTTGCTACAGATGATTCCTTTATGCTAACCCTAAAATTAGAAAAGAAACCATAGATTCAAGGAACTGGATAGACTCTTAGGCACAATATAGTCCAATCTTCTCAATTCACAAGTGTGGTAATTGACACCTAGGGAAAATAAGTGACTAGTCTAAGTTCACAGTAAGTGCCTGGAACTCCTGCTTCACATTCCTGTGCCAGTGTTCTTTTTACCTAACCACAGTGACTACATAAAATTTGACATTACAGATTTTTTTTTTTTTTTTGAGAAAGGGTCTGTTGACTCTGTCACTTAGGCTGGAGTACTGTGGCATGATCATAGCTCACTGCAACCTCAAACTCCTGGGCTCAAGGGATACTCCTGCCTCAGCTTCCTGAGTAGCTAGGACTACAGGTGGGCCACCATGTCTAACTTTTTATATTTTTTATTTTTTGTAGATTCAGGGTCTCTGTTGCCTAGGCTGATCTTGAACTCCTGGCATCAAGCAATCTTCCTTTCTTGGCCTCCCGAAGTGCTGGGATTACAGGCATGGGCTACCGTGACCAGCTGAACATTACAGTTTTGAAACTTTGTTAAAGTTTTTTTTTTCTCTTTTAAGAGATGGGGTATTCCTCTGTCACCAAGGCTGGAGTACAGTGGCACATCAAGCAAGTCTCTTGCCATAGCCTGCTGAGTAGCTGGAATTACAGGTTGAGCTGCTGCACTTAGCTTATTTAATGCAGTTAAAAGGAATCCCTAACAATCAAAACTTACTAAAGCATATGTTTATAACATTAATACTCTGTCTACTAGAGGTGATTAAAACTACTGAAAAGAATGTTTTATTCTATAGAACTAGATTTTTATTTTTAGAAATCAAATTGCATATTTGTGATTTTTTTAAATATGTAAATATAGAACATTGAGGCAAAAACCAATTTTTAAAAACATATTTTAGGCCGGGCGCTGTGGCTCACGCCTGTAATCCTAGCTCTTGGGAGGCCGAGGCGGGCGGATTGCTCAAGGTCAGGAGTTCAAAACCAGCCTGAGCAAGAGCGAGACCCCGTCTCTACTATAAATAGAAAGAAATTAATTGGCCAACTGATATATATATAAAAAAATTAGCCGGGCATGGTGGCGCATGCCTGTAGTCCCAGCTACTCGGGAGGCTGAGGCAGAAGGATCACTCAAGCCCAGGAGTTTGAGGTTGCTGTGAGCTAGGCTGACGCCACGGCACTCACTCTAGCCTGGACAACAAAGTGAGACTCTGTCTCAAAAAAAAAAAAAAAAAAAAACAACAAAAAAACCCCACATATTTTATATGAGCTCTTTGGAGCTGATCATATTTGAAGAAAACATTTCCAAATCCGTCTACCTGGCAACAAATATAGAATACAAGTCAGTCACAAACTTCACCAATAATACATTACATGCACAGTTTCTTTCCAGGTCTTAAAATTCTATAGGCAAGGATAAAGAATTCTTCAAAAACAAGTAGTCTAGGCCGGGCGCTGTGGCTCACGCCTGTAATCCTAGCTCTTGGGAGGCCGAGGCGGGCGGATTGCTCGAGGTCAGGAGTTCAAAACCAGCCTGAGCAAGAGCGAGACCCCGTCTCTACTATAAATAGAAAGAAATTAATTGGCCAACTGATATATATAGAAAAAATTAGCCGGGCATGGTGGCGCATGCCTGTAGTCCCAGCTACTCGGGGGGCTGAGGCAGAAGGATCACTCAAGCCCAGGAGTTTGAGGTTGCTGTGAGCTAGGCTGACGCCACGGCACTCACTCTAGCAAAGTGAGACTCTGTCTCAAAAAAAAAAAAAAAAACAAGTAGTCTAACTTAGGCAAGTCTGCTCTTTACACATGCTATATACAGGGAGACTGAATCTGACTATCACAGAGATTCAAGTGAGCAATCATGTAAATATTCAAACTCTAAACAGGAGAGGGAAAGCCCTGCAGAGTGACACATAGCAGCAGGGACTAGCCTTAAATTGAACTGGCCTGTGAGTTCTGGGATCAAAGTCATATTGTTTAATCACAACCCTAATAATATGAACAAGCCAAATATACATCAGCTGAAAAGAAAAAAATTAAAGAATACATTAACCAGCAACTTAATTTTAGTTTTAAAACATCAATCTTTTTACAATCTGAGCTGTTTGTTCAAACAAACAAAAACAATCTTTTAAATTACATCTAAAAAGTTTAATACCATGTTTAAAAGTTTTGTTTACCTGCTGGGAAAATATTTATTGCTATTCAGAAGACATGCAGCACCATCAAGTGTGTGTCTTGTATAGTCTATAGCAGGACACTGCAAAAGAAAGAATATGAAAAGGTAGCAACAAAATGCTCTACCTCTTAGATTATGTATATTTATTATATGGGTGCTTTATTCCAAAGACACGAGCATCTGCTAAGGAAAAAGTCCCTCAAAACTTCCGAATAACTGTAAAATACAATGTTAGATCAATAAATAAGGCCTTATTATCCCCATGACCTATAATATCAAGATTCTAGATGATACATGAATCAGTCTCCCATTTTTATTCCCAAAATTGTACCTAGAAAAAACACTGCTTAGAGATGGAAAGAACCTGTCTGACTTTACAAATGAGGAAACTGAGGCTTTGAATGGTCAATGACTTATGCAAGATCACACAGGTAAGAAGAAGGATTCAAAAATAGTAACACAGATATACTGATTCCTATCTAATGATTTATACTTTACCAAGCAGCTCAAAAGCCTCCTTCCCTTCACAAATATCTCTAGGGATTAGTACCTTCTTCCATCCTAGAAAATATCCCTCATTATGTTCCTGGCACTCTATTACCAATCTAGCAGCTTTCTAAAGAACTTTCTCCTCAATCAACTTTGAATTTTAACATGAATTTTCAGAGTTTTTTTATATTTTAATAAATCTGTCTTATCCTATTCCATTTATCAGAAATAATGAAACTTATTGTATCATTGCAAAACCAGTAAACAGTCTTGCTCTGTCTCCCTGACTAGAATGCAGTGGCATTATAATAGCTCACTGCAACCTCAAACTCATGGGCTCTGCGATCCTCCCACCTCAGCCTCCCGAGTAGCTGGGTCCACAGGTGCATGTCACTGTGCCTGGTTAATTTTTCTATTTTTAGTAGAGATAGGGTCTTGCTCTTGATCAGGATGGTCCTGAACTCCTGAGCTCAAACAATCCTTCTACCTCAGCCTCCCAGAGTGCTAGGATTACAGGTGTGAGCCACCACACCACACCTGGCCCCTTATAATTTTCTTAATAACATTTTTTTCCTTAGCTTCCTTCATTGATATAATACATGTAACATACAAAGTACGTGTTTATCAACTATTATGTCACTAGCAGGACTTCCTATCAACAGTAGGTTTTTAGTAGTTAAGTTCTGGGGGAGTCAAAGTTAAATGCAAAGTTTTGACTGTGAGGAAGGCTGGCACCCCTAACCTCCCCACCCCACATTGTTCAAGGATCAACTATATAATGTAAGCCACACACTTAATTCTAGCAGATACATTTAAAAAGTAAAAATAAACAGGTGAAATTAATTTTAATAATTTATATATCCCACTATATAAAAAATATTACTATTTAAACCAGTAATTCACACAAAATTATTAGTGGGCTATTTTTTTTGTCTTTTTAAATTAAGATATAATTCATATGCCATAAAATTAATCTTTTATTAAATTCAGTAGTTTTTAGTACATTCACAAAATTATGCAATCATCACCAATTCCAGAACACTTTCATCACCTCAAAAAGAAACCCTGAACCAATTAGCAGTCACTTTCCATTCTTTCTTACCCCTAGCCCTAAGCAACAACAAATCAATCTACTTTCTGCCTCACAGGATTTGCCTATTCTGGATATTTCATTAAAATGGAATAAGATAATATGTGGCATTTTATGTCTGCTTTGTGTCATTTATGTTATCAAAGCTCATCCATGGAGTAGCATGAATCAGTACTTCATACCTTTTCTTTTTTTTTTTTTGAGACAGAGTCTCGCTTTGTTGCCCAGGCTAGAGTGAGTGCCATGGCGTCAGCCTAGCTCACAGCAACCTCGAACTCCGTGGCTCAAGCAATCCTACTGCCTCAGTCTCCTGAGTAGCTGGGACTACAGGCGTGCGCCACCATGCCTGGCTAATTTTTTCTATATATATTAGTTGGCCAATTAATTTCTCTCTATTTATAGTAGAGACAGGGTCTCGCTCTTGCTCAGGCTGGTTTCGAACTCCTGACCTCGAGCAATCTGCCCGCCTAGGCCTCCCAGAGTGCTAGGATTACAGGCGTGAGCCACCACGCCCAGTCCATACCTTTTCTTAACTCAAAAACTATCTATTCTATCTATTTATTTTGAGACAGAGTCTTTTCATTTCTTTCTATTTATAGTAGAGACAGGGTCTCGCTCATGCTCAGGTTGGTTTCGAACTCCTGAACTCAAACGATCTGCCCGCCTCAGCCTCCCAGAGAGCTAGGATTACAGGCGTGAGCCACCACGCCTGGCCTCAAAAACTTTTTAATGTTTTCAATATCTACAAAATGCTATATATGTCTCTCCCTTTACATATTTCATTCCTTTTTATAGCTGAATAATAGCCTATTCTATGCATATACAGTGAACCCTCTACATCTACAGATTCAACCAATCACAGATCACAAATATTAAAAAAAAAACATAACAGTAACTATAATTAAAAACATACAAATTTTAAAATACAGTATTCTAACTATTTATGAAGCATTTACATTTTACTAAGTATTATAAGTAATCTAGAGATGATTTAAAGTATACAGGAGTGGCCAGGCACTCCTGTAATCCCAGAACTCTGGGAGGCTGAGGAAGGAGGGATGCTTGAGGCCAGGAGTTCAAGGCCAACCCAGGCAACATGGTGAGACCTCATCTCTACAAAAAAAAAACATTTTAAATAAAAAAAAAAAAAGATAAAGTATATAGGAAGATATGCATAGGTTATATGTAACACCATTTTATGTAAGGGACTTTAGCATCCGTGGACCTCTGTATTTATGGGGGTCCTGGAACCAGTATCCTGAGGATACTGAAGGATGATTGTAACACATTTTGTTTATCCATTTTCAGTTAATGGACATTTAATTGTTTCCATTTTTTGACTATCATAAATAATGTGACTGTGAATATTCATGTACAAGTCTTTGTGTAGACGTGTTTTCATTTTGGGGTATATATCAAAGAGTGGAATTGCTAGGTCATATGGTAACTCTTTGTTTATCATTTTAAGGAACTTCAAAACTATTCCCAAGTAGCCACAGCAATTTACAATCCCATCAGCATTGTAAGAGGGTTCTAATTTTCCACATCCTGGCCAATACCTGTTATTGGTCTCTCTTTTATATTTTAGCCATTATAGTGAGTGTGAAGTATATATGCCATTGTGGGGTTTGGAGGTTTTATTTAATACATTGCCTTGCTAGAAAAAAGAATTTTTTTCCTTAGGGCCATGGTGTTTTATTACAAAAATAGAATAAAAACTTTGAAAATCAAATGATCCACTCTAATTTAATGAAAATTTGTTACTGACCTCTATTCATTTAATCCACGTTTTTAGAATTAAATTTTGAATATAAATTATAACAATAAGAACATCAACAAGTAAGATTTTCACAAACCAACTGCAGGGTTTTGTCTAGGTTTTGCTTCACAAGGCCCTGGGCTCAAAACTAGTATGAGTTAACTACAACTCACAAGGCAATTAATGTTTTACACATTTTTTAAAACTGTGGTAAATATATATATAATATAAAATTTGCCATTTTTTAAATGTAGAGTTCAGTGGCATTAATTACTTAATCAGTGGCATTAATTAATTAATTAATCACACTATTGTACAACCATCACCACTGTTTCCAATTCCCAAACAGAAGCTACATAACCATTAAGCACTAATTCCCTACACCCCTAACCCCTGAGCAACCTCTACTTACTGTCTCTATGAATTTACTCACACTAGATATTTCATATAAGTGGAATCATACAGTATCTTTTGTGTCTGGCTTATTTCACTCAGCATAATACATACTAGATTTCAAAGGTTCATCTACATTGTAGCATGTATCAGAACTTCATTTCCTTTCATGGCTATGTAATATTTCATTGTATGTCTATACCACCTTTTGTTTATCCATTCTCATTGTGTTTTTTTCTTCTTTTTTCTTTTTCTAATCAAGCTGTTGTGGGGGAGACAATGTTAATCAGCTTAACGATAACCAACAACCCTGGACTAATTTTCATTGTGATCTTGATCTGCATTTACCTAATAATATAGCATCTTTTCATGTGTTTATTGGTCATTTCTGTGTCATCTTTGGCAAAATGTCTATTCAAATCCTTTGCTCATTTCTAAATTGAGTTATTTGTCTTTCAATTGTTGAGTTGTGATAATTGTTTATATATTCTGGATACCAGGTCCTTATCAGAAATAGGACTTTCAAAAATATTGTCTCCCATTCTGTAGGTTATCTTTGCACTTTACTTTCTTTTTTAATGATTTCAGATAGAAATGCACTTTACTTTCTTTTTTTTTTTCTGAGTCAGAGTCTCACTCTGTTGCCTGGGCTAGAGTGCCATGGCATCAGCCTAGCTCACAGCAACCTCAAACACCTGGGCTCAAGGAATCCTTCTGCCTCAGCATCCCAAATAGCTGGGACTACAGGCATGTGCCACCATGCCCAGCTAATTTTTTCTATATATTTTTAGTTGGCTAATTAATTTCTTTCCATTTTTAGTAGAGATGGGGTCTCTTCCTCAGGCTGGTCTTGAACTCCTGACCTTGAGTGATCCTCACACCTCAGCCTCCCAGAGTGCTAGGATTACAGGTGTGAGTCACCACGCTGGGCCGCACTTTACTTTCTTAACAGTGTTCTTTGAAGCACAAAAATTTTTACATTTGATGAAATCCAATTTACCTGTATTTTCTTCCACTGTTTGAGCTTTTGCTGTCATACCTAACAAATTATTGCCTATTCCCAGGTCATGAAGATTTACAGCTATGCTTTTTCCAAAAATTTTAAAATTTTAGCTCTTACAATAAGTCTTTGATTTATTTTGAGTGCATTTTTGTACACTGTGTGAGGTAGAGGTCCAACTTCATTCTTTTGTATGTAGATATCCAGTTGTCCCTCAGTGAGATATTTCATAGTGTATTTTTGTAGTAAGTCTTTGATATCCAGTAGGTTGTTGCACTTACAGCATATTTCAAATGCACCACAGCCACATGTGGCTCATGGTTACCATATCAGACAGCGTTGCTTCAGACCTTTAATTGGCTTTTTTGGCTTTTTCTTTTTTAGGGAGGTGGGTGAAGTTTTGCCTTGTTTCAGCTCCCTTTCCTTCTCCTTTCACAAGTTAATTATCAGGTAACTATTCCTACTTTGCACCAGTTACAACAGTAAAAAGTTGGCAAAATATACCACGTTACAAAGTAGTATGTAATGTGTCCACAAACTTTTATAAATTTCATTTTGCCAAATATATAATCATAATGCTACTGTAAGTGGATCACAATCTGCATGTGACTAGATGGGCTTGTAGATAATAACAAGTTATAATCTTTTGTCACCTATAATTACTATTTGTATAATTAACTGTACTTGCTGCAAAGCCTCTCTTTAATTTTCAAGAACACTGAATAAATTATCACTAGTGCTAAGTATCCTGCCTCTTCCACTTCAGATTCTGCTCAATGCTTTTAATCAATGTGAACAATCTGTTTTAGCTCCTAGTCTGTCCATTCCTATGATTTCCTGACAAGGCACAGTTATTCCAAAAGACTTCAGAAAGTATCCTTTCGAGTTTTTCTTTTGTTTGTACATTTATGGTAACCCTATTCCATGTAACCACCATTTAGAAAAACCTATCATCCTCCTTTGATATATGGCCAATTCAATAGAGCTGGACTTCAGCAAGCCATGTTGCATTTACAGGTCCAAATATTCATGATTATCCCATCAAATATTTAATACATATCAAGAAAAAAAGTGGATGTAAGAATAACAATATATTTAAGACTTACAGGCCAGGCGCGGTGATTCACACCTGTAATCCTAGCACTCTGGGAGGCCGAGGTGGGCAGACTGCTTGAGCTCAGGAGTTCGAAACCAGCCTGAGCAAGAGTGAGACCCCATCTCTACTATAAATAGAAAGAAACTAATTGGCCAACTAATATATATGGAAAAAATTAGCTGAGCATGGTGGCGCATGCCTGTAGTCCCAGCTACTCAGGAGGCTGAGGCAGGATTGCCTGAACCCAGGAATTTGAGGTTGCTGTGTGCTAGGCTGATGCCACGGCACGCACTCTAGCCTGGGCAACAAAGTGAGACTCTGTCTCAAAAAAAATAAATAAATAAAATAAAAAGAAAAGTGAATAGAAAAAAAAAATGATGCTAATCATAAGAAATCCTAAAATAGCACTGTGGTGACAACCTTGCAGCAAGGAACTCAAAACTAAATGGCAAAGTAAACTAAAATCTTTAAAAACCTGTCTACCATTGTCTTAGATCTAGGATATGATTTCATTAGTCACTCTATTTCATAAATCCTCACCTCTTTTGGAGTTTTATGAGCTGCACAAAGAAAAATCCATTGTTCAGTTGCTGTCATTTGAGTGCAAGTATCTGGATGGCATTCACTCTGTTAAAAATAATTAAATTTCTTAATATATAAAATAATAATGAAAAACCTTATCACTTGTGCTACCACATTTCCATGTAAAATTCTATAAAAAAATAAATTAGAAATTTTGGATAAGTTTTTGTAAACATAATTTAGTTACAAAAACAGAGAAAAATATCAAAACTTTCAATTATAATTTTAACTTAAAATATTACCTGAAGTTTGACAGCAAGTCCATTTAGCTCAAGGCAGAATTGCCTGAAAATGCAAATATATAAATGAAAAGTCACATCATTCTCCAGGGTTATTTTTAGAATATTAATTATAAAAAGACAATCCCATCAGTATCATCCTTCCACCTTCATCATCATTATTAAAACCACCTGAAATGACAATGGCACATTTCTTCCAAAGACTTATAGATTAAAAAATCAAAAACCAAGGACTCTAATAATGGTCAATACCATTATTAGTTCAATGAGCTGATCACTCTCTTGTATGTGGAAAATCAGTACAATTTTTCTGAGAATTTGGAAATATTTATCAAGATCTTTAGGAAGTGTATACTTTTGACTAAAGAATCTATTGTAATGAAATAATCGAATTGCATGCAGTTATATGTACAAAGATGTTCACAGAAACTATATATACATGTGAGAAAATTGTTGAGATATCCTAAATGATTTGCAATTGGAGGGTAGTAAAATGTTGGTACACATAAACATACAAAGGATGTCTATATATGCATATAGATTAAGTTATGTAAAAATAAGACTCCAGTTATATAAAAAATAATGTAAGTGCCCAGGAGTTTGAGGTTGCAGTGAGCTACCATGATGCCACTATACTCTATCCAAGGCCACATGGTAAAACCCTGTCTCAAAAACAAAAACAAAACAAAATAAAACAATACAACTAAGTTACAATATTTTGTTTTATAGCAGTCAAGATACTGAATGTGTGTTCCCTCTAAAAACCCTAACTAGTAATATTTACTTCAATGTATCAGGTTAGATAATTCAATACTGTGTTTCCCCATCAAACAAATGAAAACACTTTGGTCCCCAAAATGCAAAACTAAAACCTATGTATTTAACAGACAAAAGAGAGTACCAAAAGAAAAAGGAAAAGGGGACATATATGAAATAAATTTGGTAGGAAAAACTTTATTGACTGACTGATTGAATAAAACAAATAAAAAGATAAGGTCAAATTTTCAGTTGTCTATAACCATATTTCCTTCCCAGGTAACTAATAATAATGCTGTTCTTAGATTATAAAAATAACCCTATTTCTGAACCACCACATCACCTTCTACTGTCCCATATCCAGTAGGCTATATGTTATGTGTTTTTGAGTTGTTTTCCACTCAGTGGTAATACAGACTGGTGGTGAGAAGCAAGTTTCCTACTTAGTCCATCTTTCTTATGGCCAACAGCAAAATTAAGCTAACTGATTTAGCCATGTTGTGGGTATAATCTTTAGCTAATAATGCAAATTTACAGTTTCAAGTTAATCTAATACAAGGCTACCACATACAGTTGTGTAGCCAAAGAGAAAAGCCAGAGCTGAAATCCAGCCTACATTCCAGTCACCATGCATACATCCTGACATAAAGAAGAGGTATCTTTTCCTAATCACAAAGACTCAGTAGGAGCTAATGGCAGATTTGACTAAAGTCAAGACCCAATTCAAATTAACATCATAATATAATCAACTTCCTTAAGCAAAAACAAAAAGTATACAGCTGCAAAGCAGTAACTGATGTATGCAAAATAACTCTTCTTGATCAACTGTAACAATGTAAATATGATAAAAAAGAATACATATGTAAGATTATAATACATCAATACAACCCCACAAAAAAAGTGGCCAACAGAAAAAAACAATAAATAGCACCAGGACAAATGCAATATGCATGAGAAAGATTTTAGATAAAATTCTATATAAAGTTTTTGTATTCCTTGTATACTGCATACTTCATAGAACAAGTTAAATAGTAAGAAAAATGTTTTCTTAGACCTGAAATAAAAACCTTGTACACTAAATTAGCCTTGTTAGGAATTATGCTTACAGTAAAAAAATATGCTCACTTATTTTCATAATTACTGCCAAAAGAAAAGTAGTTATTTTCAAGGCTGACTAAAATAAGGAAAACAATATATTACATATACTAAAGTGTTCTCTATCTTGAGTTATAAGAATGGGAAAATAGGGCCGGGTGTGGTGGCTCATGCCTGTAATCCTAGCACTCTGGGAAGCCGAAGCGGGAGGATCCTTTGAGCTCAGGAGTTCAAAGCCAGCCTGAGCAAGAGTGAGACCCTGTCTGTATTAAAAATAGAAACAAATTAGCCGGACAACTAAGAAAATATACAAGGCTGGGGGTGGTGGCTCATGCCTGTAATTCTAGCACTCTGGGAGGCTGAGGTACATAAGGCTGGGGGCGGTGGCTCACGCCTGTAATCCTAGCACTCTCGAAGGCTGAGGTGGGTGGATCATTTGAGCTCAGGAGGAGTTTGAGACCAGCCTGGACAAGAGTGAGACCCCATCTCTACTAAAAATAGAAAGAAATTAATTGGCCAACTAAAAATACATATATAAAAAAAAATTAGCTGAGCATGGTGGAACATGCCTATAGTCCCAGCTACTCAGGAGGCGGAGGCAGGAGGATTACCTGAACCCAGGAATTTGAGGTTGCTGTGGGCTAGGCTGACGCCATGGCACTCTAGCAACACAGTGAGACTCTGTCTCAAAAAAATGAAATGAAAAAATAAAAAAATATATAGAAAAAATTAGCCAAGCATGGTGGTGCATGCCTATGGTCCCAGCTACTCGGGAGGCTGAGGCAGAAGGACTGCTTGAGTCCAGGAGTTTGTGGTTGCTGTGAGCTAGACTGATACCACAGCACTCTAGCCCAGGCAACAGAGTGAGACTCTGTCTCAAAAAAAAAAAAAAAGGGAAAATAACTATACTCAAATTTTCAATTATCATGCATTCAGATTGTATAAAACAATTAGATCAAATAGTCAAGTGATTTGTCCAAGAAACTGACAAAGGGTACAAAGAAGTCTTAGTATACTGAAAATGCTTAACTGTTATGACAAGACATTACGTATTAGCAATATCTAAACAATCATGCATCATCAAGTAGTTATATAAAAAAAAATTCCTTGTCTACAAGTTGAAGCACTCATCACACGAAATGTGGTCTTACTGAGGAAGTTATATTTCTACTCTACTTATTACCTAAAAAATCAACTCAAAAGTAATAAACCTCAATGAAATCATATCCATATTGCATTCTCTATATTTAATCTGCCAAATCAGCTCCAGTATATACTAGAAAGTTTATAACATCAAGAAACACCTAATAACTTCAGGTTATAGCTACTTCTAAAGTTAACTCTACTTACTCACAAGTTATCAATTTTATCAAAAGGATCTTTTTTTTTTTTGAGACAGAGTCCTGCTTTGTCACGGGATTAAAGTGCCATGGAGTCAGCCTAGTTCACAGCATCCTCAAACTCCTGGGCTCAAGCAATCCTCCTGGCTCAGCCTCCAAAATAGCTGGGGATATAGGTGCATGACACCAGGCCTGGCTATTTTTTTCTATTTCAAAGAATATTATAAAATGCACCAAAACTCTTTACTTCATGATTACAATTAATCTCTATTTACAAAAGGAAGACGTGGACATTCTCAATAGTTCATAGGTAACTCATCAGATACCAAGCCTAGACTAGGACCTAGAGGTAATACTCTATAAAGACATATAAAGTATCCCATGAGTAGAGACATGGAAATAATGTATCAGTGGTTAAGAGATACAATTAAGGAAAACCATGTAAAAAGATAACAGGGTCCAAATCCATAAATGTAGAAAGGTGCACATGCAGGTATCAAAACAAGTGCCTTGCAGCATAATTTGATCTGGTAACAATCAGTGAACAAAGCTGAGAACCTTAACACTGAAAAGACAAAACTTTAGAATCTGGTGTCATAATTATCGTTAATACTAAAGGTAATTTTTTCTAGTATTAATAGAAGTATTATTACTATTTTTTTTTTAGACAGAGTCTTGCTCTGTTGCCCAGGCTAGAATGCAGTAGTGTCATCATAGCTCACTGCAACCTCAAACTCCTGGGCTTAGGTGATCCTTCCACTTCAGCCTCCCCAGAAGCTGGGACTAAAGGCATGCCACCATACCCAGCTATTTTTTCCATTTTTTTGTACCAACATTTTACTATGTTGCTCAGGTTGGTCTACAACTCCTGACCTCAAGCAATCCTCCTGCCTTGGCCTCACAAAGTGCTAAGATTACAAGCATGAGCCACCATACACAACCGTATTACTATTTTGATATACCATAGGGACTTACCTTAAATGTTCATACTTCCATACGCCTTCATCTTGGCCTTCAGGTGGTTCAAGAATTTTGTCAATATTGGAGCAATCTGCTCTTATGTTCTGTTGAATATACTAAAAAAAAGAAGTTCTTATGGTTAATTAAAATATTATACTACATGTTAAATCTTATGTTAAATACATGCAATTTTTGAATATATAACTGCTCTTGTGGTTCAACTTTTGAGCTATACACTAAATAGAAAATCAAGTATAAAATCATAATCTGTAACTCAGAAGAAAGCAGATAACCCTTATTTTACCTGTTCTCCAATTCAACTTCACTGGGACAGGATCTACTACATAAATGAAGATACTGTATTTATCAGGATTTGATCTGGGATCAAAATTGCAAACCATAATTTTCATATGAACATAAAATACAATGTAAATATAACTGTGGTACATAGTATATGATTCCATTTATGTAGAATAAGCAAATCTACAGAGACATAATAGACTATCAGTTGCTTAAGAGCCTAGGAGTAGAGATGAAGACAGAGGAAAATGAATATACTACTAAGGGGGATACGGTTTTGTTTAAAGACAGATGAAAATGTTTTAAAACATTAATGTATGGGAGGCCGAGGCGGGCGGATTGCTCAAGGTCAGGAGTTCGAAACCAGCCTGAGCGAGACCCCGTCTCTACCAAAAATAGAAATAAATTAATTGATCAACTAAAAATATATATACAAAAAATTAGCCGGGCATGGTGGCACATGCCTGTAGTCCCAGCTACTTGGGAGGCTGAGGCAGCAGGATTGCTTGAGCCCAGGAGATTGAGGTTGCTGTGAGCTAGGCTGATGCCACGGCACTCACTCTAGCCAGGGCAACAAAGCAAGACTGTCTCAAAAAAAAAAAAAAAAAAAAATTAATGTAGTGGTAACAGTTATGCAAACTTGTGAATATAATTACTGAATTGTACATTTTAAAGCTGTGATTTGCATGATATGTTAATTATATCCAATAAAAAGTTGTTTTAAATGACAAGCAGAAAAACAAAGTTAAAAAAAAGAAGGCAAGGAGGATCACTTTCAATTTTAAAAATATTAAATAACACAAAACTTTATTTATTTATTTAAAACAGAGTCTCGCTTTGTTGCCCAGGCTAGAGTGAGTGCTGTGGTGTCAGCCTAGCTCACAGCAACCTCAAACTCCTGGCCTCAAGCAATCCTGCTGCCTCAGCCTCCCGAAGTAGCTGGGACTACAGGCATGTGCCACCATGCCCACCTAATTTTTTCTCTATATATTAGTTGGCCAATTAATTTCTTTCTATATATAGTAGAGACGGGGTCTCACTCTTGCTCAGGCTGGTTTCGAACTCCTGACCTCGAGCAATCCTCCCGCCTCGGCCTCCCAGAGTGCTAGGATTACAGGCGTGAGCCAACGCACCTGGCCAACATAAAACTTTAAACTTCAGATCTCTTTAATGCTTCATTCAATCTATGATTTTCATACTGTGAAATCTGAACAGGTTAGAGTAGATTAAAATGCCAAGTTACAAAAACTTACTAAGGACGAGACCTTCTTAATCAATTTTGGCCATTTCAGACAATCTTTCCCAAGTATCACTAGCTTACTCAAAAACTTTTTTTTAAACAAAAGGTCACACATAATTATTACTGAATCAGTCTACTAGTGTAGAACATAGAAACAAAAAGAAAAAAACATTTTTCCAATAAAACATGTTCAACTATCCAGATAGTGGTGACATATTCAGCTTGATATGATAAAATGAAAGTGACCTTGATACAGCATAAACATGTGTGCCATCTCATGTGCAATTCCTCACAGACTCAGCTTGGTTCTTCTCCAATGTCTCCTCTTGGAGTTGTACCTGATTTTAACACCACTTTTCATTTGAATCCACTAAATCCACTGGGGAATGTGATGCATTTGCTTTTTTTTTGAGACAGAGTCTCACTTTGTTGTCCAGGCTAGAGTGAGTGCCGTGGCGTCAGCCTAGCTCACAGCAACCTCAAACTCCTGGGCTCGAGCGATCCTTCTGCCTCAGCCTCCCGAGTAGCTGGGACTACAGGCATACGCCACCATGCCTGGCTAATTTTTTTTTATATATATATCAGTTGGCCAATTAATTTCTTTCTATTTATAGTAGAGACGGGGTCTCGCTCTTGCTCAGGCTGGTTTTGAACTCCTGACCTTGAGCAATCCGCCCGCCTCGGCCTCCCAAGAGCTAGGATTACAGGCGTGAGCCACCGCGCCCGGCGCATTTGCTTTTATTTCTTGACCAGGAATAGCCCAATCCTTAAAGTCTTATGAGAAGACATGGTGAAGAATGGAGTCTACTGAGCACACCGCAGTGGCAGAGAAAGGGCTCAAACATTTTTAATGACTCCCTAATTCCTATTTAAACCACTCTCCCTGATTTTTTTATTCCATCCTAATGTTCCAAAATTTTGTTCTCTCTCTCCTTGAGCAGATACAACTAAATTCTATACCTTTTCCTTAGGCCACCTCAAATTCCACATAACAATTCTTTCCAAATCTCCCTTCCCCCAATACACTCAAGTCATTCGTGATTATTCTAGTCTACACAGAACTCCATCTGATTTCCTACCACATTTGTCCTTTGCATAATCTAAATTAGCAATTTGTCTAGTCATTCTTATTTTTCCTTCTCCCACTATACCTCCTATAGAATTCTTAACAACATTTATTTCACATTTAATAGCACTTATTTTCATGTTTCCCTCATATAGAGAGTCTTTGAACACAAAGATTTAGTTTTGTTTTGAATTTTCGTTATTAGCACCTGGAACATAAGAGGTTTTCAATAAATGTTTATTGACTTGAAATCAAGGATAAACATGAACAATGGCCTGAAATGTCAAAGTCACTGAAGGGTAGGGATGACAAAAGTTACCAAAACTGGAATGTAAATCCTAATTCTTTTGCATTCTTTGGTGATCCCAAAATGAGTTTGTCAGGCACACAAAAGTATATTCTCTGCAAAATGGTTTGCTCAAAATCAATGTTAATTCTTTAACCACATATTTAGCAATTGAATTTACTTATAATTACTAAATTTTGTTATTAAGTGGAATTACAAGTTGTCAATCTTTAACAAATCTAGAATCCTTTTATTAATGCCAATTTATGTAAAACAAAAAACAGAAATCCTTAACTTAGAAACATAAAATGTCATTTTGTTTTCTGAACTGAATCCTCCACACTTTTATACAAAGAGGCAACTATCATTTTTATAAAATGAGCTAAGAAAAATAAATTTCCCAATGCTTACTGAATATCTTTTGCCATATGAAACAATGTAAAAAGTTACATTGTTTCTGAGTTATCAATAACATCTTTCTGATATTTTAATCATCCTCACAAACATCTGATAACTAAAGGTTTACAAACTGAAAGATGTCTATCTATCATGTCGCACATCATAATGTGATATAATTGTAAACTAGGATTAATGTTTTCATGTTCAGCAGAATATAGACAAATATGAAATAAGAAAAAAAACAAGAATTAGCTCTACAGTGAAAATGTGGAATATTCTTAAGTACCTCTTCAACATTATCTTTAATATAATGCTTATTTAGTAATTCAGTTAAATAGAAAGTAGTACCATAACCTCTTAAAACTTTAGCCAGTGGCTACAGTGGCTCATGCCTGTAATCCCAGCACTCTGAGAAGCAGGAGGATTGCCTGAGGCCAGGAGTTCAAAACCAACCTGGACAACATAGCAAGACCTCCGTCTCTACAAAAAATAAGAAAAATTAGTCAGGCGTGGTGGCACCTGCCTATAGTCCTAGCTACTTTGAAGGCTGAGGCAGGAAGATTGCTCAAGGCCATGAGGCTGATGTTACAGCGAGCTATGATTGTACCACTGCACTCCTAGGCAACAGTGCAAGACTTTGTCTCTAAAAATAAATAAATTAATTAAATACAACTTTTGCTGATGAGTTTTAATGCTAAGAGTTTGAAACTGAGTAAACTGAATAACTATTATTTAAGGAACTGGTTTTGAAATCTTTAAGAGATTTTACAAAAAAATCCAGAAGACAACTTCATAAGAATAATGGTCTTTTACGCTTTCAAGTACTATAAAATCCTAACTTACTATTATACCATTTCTTGAAAAGTTTTTTCCAGTAAGCTTCGAAAAGTCAATACCACCTTACCAGATCAAGCTCTATGAACACTTCAGAGTCAATATCAGTATATATTCACTTCCCAGGTCTTTCGAGTCTCCTCAGTGTAGCAATATATTAACAATATACCCAATTTTACATTAAGTCAAAATGAAGGCAGGAAATCTTTCTTCTATTATGAAAAGGCGATTTAATTCTGTGGTCTATAATTATTAACATAATGACCTAACACTGAGCATATTTTATAGAATACTTTTCCTAAAGCAGTTTCTAGAGATCATTTGGGGCAAGTAAAGTACACGGCAATAAAACACTATGCAAAAGCATTTTATTGTTTCTAGTTTGGGGTAAGATATAATAAACACATACCAACCTTTCTCTCTCACTAAATGAAACTATAAAATCTGGACAGAAAGGATGGTTCAGCTATTTGAGGTCTCTGAAAAGTAAATAACAATAGAAGCAGGAAAGAACACCAGAATTCAAAGTAGGTACCACTGAACTGGCAGTTAGTTTGCCAAGTTTCTTTTCCCCTCTAGTATCTGCTGGCCTAAACTCAATGCAGGATGAAATCCAGAAATCAGGACTATGGTTATAAAAGAAAGAGATCAAAGAGAAACCCTCTAGTTCTAGCTCTCAGAGTAGAAAAAAAGCACTCTTGAAGCTCAAAGAAAGTGAAAGAAATCCCTCAGGAGGTTTTTCCCTCCTCTTTATTCTCCATTCTTTCATAGCCTAGGCCAGAGACAATTCCACAATGGCAACAGGAACAGCTGACAGAAGAAAAATGTAGGAGACAAAACTCTGAGGAAGTGAGCCTTTTCCTCTCCATTTGGTGATGCTGTGGCCCCAAAAGAGCAGGACCAAACTGTTTTTTTCTCTCTTTCTGTCTTCTCACAATTGCAACATGATGCCAGTAAGTGGTTTCTGGCCAGAGGACCAAAGAGGTGGGCT